TGGCATCGCTACTAGGAGCAAGGACGCCCACTAGGGGCTCCTGGCATCGCTACTACGACCAAGGACGCCACTTCGCTACTGGGAGCAAGGACTTCTATGGGGGGGGAGGGTGATTCAAGGTGATTGATCCATCCTTGACCTGATGGCATCATATGGTGCTCAGCGGCCGGTCGACGGTGCAGCGGTCAGCCGCTGCGGTGTGTGGTTCTGTCCCTCTATATATTCGTTCTCATGAGGGGTTCTGTAGTACTCTGACTGCATGGGAAGTATCTTTCCTTTCAGGCTTGCCCCTCCCTGACGTGATTCTCAACCCAGGGCAAACTATGAAAGGACTGTTGGCAGACAAAGCCATGCTGTTTTTCAGCTAGGCACTCAGCCCTTAAGGAGAACGCGGCCCGGTGTGTTTGGCTCGGAAGTGGATCTCTGTCAAAACAAGGTGATTGACCCTGGCACGAGACCAATCCCTTAGACATCCATAGACCCTGTTTGGCAACGTAACCACTTGAGACCCCCAGGGAGCTTCGGACCAAATCACTGCACACGGCCATTTTCCAAGTCACGGATGAATAGATCGTAGTCCGCTCCGAAACAGCGGATAAGGGCTCCAAGAACCAGAGCTTGGACTCTTGCTGCATTTATTTAGCTTGTTAGATGATTGAGATCGGTGGGTCCTGGTCAATCCACCGACTTAGATGGGCACTCTTGTGATCACACCAAGCGGAAGGCTGGCAGGCACGGTGAACCCAAAGTGATCCAAAGTACTCGGGGAAAGCACTCATAACGTCTCATATCTATACTACACCTATACTTCAGGACTTGAGGACATGTCAAGGATCCAGGGATTTCCCGAGATATGTCGAGGGACCCGAGATCACAATTCGACCTCATCGTGGAAGGGTGCACCATATGCTAGCCCAGGAACTGTGAGCTTTGCACATTGCTTCCTGAGCATCGCCAAGGATGTGAATGGACTTTAGCTCGAAGGCTGTTCCCTGCATTTCCCTGCTACAAAGATTCTTGCATCCAAAGAACTCGCGTAAGGCAGGAGGAATGTCTTTGATGTTCCATGTTGCAACACCTATATACTCGGGCAATGCGGGCCACTACCCTTACCCCACCCCTGCAGATTCATGGGGATGAGACTGGGGATGAGCTAGGGTGTGGACCGTTAAACACACAACATAGGCCTACTCAGGCAATGTCCACTGGTGGGTGTGCACACCGGTGTGAATTGCACCTGGTCCACCAAGGCTCCAGCTTCAAGTCCAAGCCCGATGCATGAGCGGCCGATCGCTTCTTGGCTGTGGCAAAGGCCACCTGACGCAGCGGGTTTGATCATTTTGATCGGCAGGCCTCGGTTCCCACCCAATTCAGAGAGTTGAAAAGTTCAGTGAGACCTGTGGCAACCGCCACTGACCCCGCCATGGTCTGAAAATGGATGGAAGTCATATGAAGGGTAAGACCTCCAAAGCCAAAAACAGCTTTTCTCTAGCCCTTCTCTCCAGCCCCATGACCACGCAGCTTCGTTGGCCTCGAAGCGACCAAGCAGCACTTCCAGCCTTGGTTGGCAAAGAATCTCGACGTTGTCACCGCCGCGACGGCCGAACACGACAGCGAGTGCTGTAATGTTGACGCTGCCCCGCTGTTCAGGTCACATCCATCCACCAGGTTGAGAAACAAACCCAACCTCTGCTCATTGATTCCCCATCCGACCATCTCGACTGCTATGAATCGAAAGCAACGACCGCTGGTCAGCTTGTTAGATCCAAGCACTTGGACACTGGCATGGAACCAGGCCTTGAACATCCGGAGACCTGGAATATGGTGTGTGGATAGCAGGATCTCCAAGCCAAGAACTAACACCATACTCACCCTGGGTGGTGGATGCACACTATAATACTATAAGGCCACATGGCCCACCAGTCATGGAAGCACCTGCGATTCTTCAGAGGCTTGATTGCCTGATCTTATGAAAACATCTCAACGCAAAACCACCCGACTAGCCACACTTATTGTGGATTCACATGAGAATGTGTCTTTGATGAGGTGTCCATGAAACTATCTTCAGCTAGATATGCTTTATGTATGTCTGCGAGGAATGCAACATAATAAGATATATATATATAGGATGTTTTAAATACGATATATTATATAATAAGTAGTAGTGCTTGCACGCGCCACGCCCTTGCACATCACCTAAACATAAAAGCCGAGGCACTGCCCAAGGCCATAGTCCTAGGTACTAGTTGACTGGTTTGATTAAAAAAACACAAGGATAGATGCTTCGTTGGGATAAGCAAACCGAATAAAACCGATGCCAACATGTTTTGAGCATATGCTTCCTCTTTTCCGTGACCTTGTTGATTTACCATGAAAACATCCAGGTCGAAAACGTTGCATTCCATATACGGGAAATGAACCAATGCGTTCACTGGAGTGGACCATCAATCTGAGCACCAATGATGTTGGTGAATGTGCCTTTTGCGGGTGAGGATGTCAGCCAGGTGGTCACAGTCACATGAACATGTCTTGCCAAAAGGCTGAGACCCCGAGGAAGCCCACAACGCGGATGTCACGGTCAACCAAACCTGGCTAGCGGTGGAGTGGTGGAGCAAATCATACAATCATTCAGCATGGATTGATGTTTTTTTCCAAAACCGCTGTATATCAATAATGCCTATTACGCATATGTGAGTATAAATAGTATAAAATAGTATAAATATGTTTTCAGGAGCTCATGTGGAGACACCAATCAATTAGACCCAAATAGCCACAAACTCCGTAGCAGTGCATGGACTTGAAAAATGATGAAACATGGAGCTCTTCTGGACCCAAGCCAGTGCCTGGACCCGTTCACTCGTGTCCCCCGGCTCGATGCTGGGAATACTTCGGATCCTGACCCGGAGCCTTTGACGGTGAAACTTTGGTCTGACGTCTCGTCATCCTTTTCTCGATGCTTTCTACCAGGCTTCCTTGCCTCTCCATCCCTCCCTCCTTCCCTCCCTTCTACTGCCAAAGCCAGTTTCACCTATGGCCCAAGTTACAGGCTGCATGGGGTGGGTGGCTCTGAGTTTGACAAGCACCGCACCTTGCACCACTAAGCCCCGAAGAAACACCGTTCGATCCTTTGGGAAGCCTTGGGGCCCTTTCCCATCGTTGGACCACCTGCTTTGTAACCCTGCTCTGACATGGCTCATGGCGACGAGAAAAGCAAGGCAACTACGTCAAGCGGTGCAGTGTGTGGGCTAGGTGTCCTGCAATCTGACCCCCAGCCCCAGATGTGTCGTAGTCAAGTGTGAAGAGTATCTGTGATGCAGCAGGGCTAAATGGCCTTAGCATATGCCTGCATACAATAGGCTGTGGCAACATGTCACTCACAAACATCACGATGTTCCTTTTTGTGTTTTGCCCTCCCAACTCAATAGGATGACTGCCATACCTCTTGGTGCACGCACTGTTTTCTGATACTAAGGTTGCCGGCCCCAAACAAACAATGAGATTCAAGTGTTCTTTGCACCATTGCAGCATCAATTTGAGCAAGAATGAAAGACCTGTCAGGCTCATTCGGAACATAGATTTCCACACACAAGGGGAGGGCATACCTTTCCATCCACTTCCCAAGAGTCAAGCATGGAGACGCCTCCGGTGAGCAAATTCTCTGGGGTGCATGGACCCTACTGCGAACATGGATGATGATGGCCATCAGCGGCATGTGCCAAAAACGCAAGCTTGAGGTGAGTGTGTACTTCTGGCAGCACCAGGTCTGTAGAAACCGCTGGCCTGTGGCTCTTGCGGTTGAGGGTTTCTGATGCTGTGTAGAAGTGAGCCCGCTGGCTGCGAATCGAACCCGATTTTGGCATCATCTCCACTCGCTGTGGCTGGTGAAACCCCAAGACACCGGAGTAGAAATTGCAGGGCAGCCATCCACACCTAACTAACAAACGAACCATTCACTTTGGCGTCATGAAGGGAACATGAATTACCCCGTTCCTTCACCCCCCGCACGTTGATTGGAGGCCGCCCCGAATCTAGTATACATAACTTCTGACCACAAAGGTTCTTCCTCCAACCTCCTCGTAGGAATGTTCTTCCCCCTTGGAGGTGGTCAAGAAGTCTTCCGGCCGCTCTTCGAAATTAAGGGCTGCAAGGTCCTCTGAGATCCCTTCCAGGGAAATCTGCTTGTCCACAGCGTCTTTGCAAGCCTTGGATGTGGGGACGTCTGACGCTGATGCTACAACACACGGTTTGCGCCAACTAATGTTGGATCTTGAATAGTAAAAACACACCCATCCCTAGCAAACAGTCGAGGGAGTTTGAATAGAAGCACGGCGACAAAAACAATCAGTAGTAGTAGGAGCAGCAGCAGCAGCAGCAATAGGAGCAGCAGTAGCAGTAGCAGTCGTAGTGGTAGTAGTGGGGACAGTTGTAGCAGCAGCAGCAGCAGCAGGTAGTCGTTCTAGTTAAGCAAGGATTTTAAAAGGAAAACACGCAAAATCATAGACAAAACAATAATTAGTTAAAAAAGCACACTGAGCGAAAGACTGTTATTATTCCATATTATTCCCTCCCATTATATAAACTGTTCAGGGTCTGGGAATATTTTGGCGGATACTTTTTATTGTTCCTTACCATTAAACTACACCGGTGAAAACTAACATTTTCGCAAAAATCTGGGCATATGTTAGTCTAGTTTCGGAGCGGACACCGTTGAGACTAACCTGGACCAAATTCCGATGTGCCATGGTGGGCCGTACGGGTATTTGGCATGGTCAATGTTAGCCTCCACCGGGCTATGTTGACCTCTACCTTCGCGATCTATGTTAGCCTGCGTTCAGTTTATAGTCAAATTGCAGTTGGTCCATGTTAGTGTCATAATTCATCATAGACTGAGAGTGGGAACGGTCCATGTTAGTGAGTGTCCGTCCAGAAATTGCCCAAAAAAGCGCTAATACCGTTTCCCCAGGAATTCACCGTTTCCAGTAGTCCATGTTAAAGCGCACTTGCATTTGAGTTCTGGTCTATGTCAATGTTGTTTTTCCCCGGAGTAATTTGGATCCAGCATTAGGATTGAAAAGTCAACTGCCCACTTTGTAACTCTTCAAATTTCATCATCATAGTTATAATATCACATTCAATAAACGTTTCAACATATTCTCCACCAGCTTCTCCTCTACCAATTGGTTCCAGGGAGGAACATCTCAAAATATAATTCAGCAAAAATGGAGACTCCTGGCTCACCTGTACTCGTCCTTCGGGCGCTGTTGACTCCAGCACCTCCACTTCCGTCATCAGCTTCCCAAAGAGGTGATATCTCTGCATCTCTGTGCCCACAATCCCGCCGATGCACTCCTCACTTCAGACAAGGACGTGCAAAAAAAGTTAAGACCCGGAATAGAAGCTCATTCCGTTCGCGCAGGCTGTTCGCACCAGCAACACTTACTGGCAAAGTAACATTGAACAACAGCACTATTAGTTTTTTCGACGAAAGAATGTTCATAGATCATGACATGTGTCCGGTGTACAACTACAGCGCCGGCGCCATCCTATTAGATGTGTGTATATATATATCATTAGATATATATATATATATCAATATCATTATATATATAT